AAAGGGATAATAATTCTTTGTTTCGGCCAAAAAATGAATTTTCCTGGAGTAAACAACAATTTTCCCATACTAACCAATGGTTAATGAATCCATTTTTATGTACAGACACAGATGTGTCTGTACATATAGCCATCATCTGCGTCTGTCNCTGTTCTTTGTCTGTGCATTTGACAGCTTTGCTGCCTTGTTACATTCAAAGTTAGTCCCTGGTTTTTTTCTAAAATATTTGGTTTTTTGTTAAAATCTCTTAAGAGATTTTAACAGAGTTTTGCCATCAATGGAGGTCACGTGGTCTAAAGACAAGCTCAGATATCAGAATAACAGCTTTAACTGCCATTTTTGTGGTAAAACAGAATATGATATATTTCTATGAGTTATGCACAATGTTTTTATTGTGAAATATAGATCTCATAAAAAGAGTTATTATCCCTTTAAGCTTGATAACAAATTGTAGTGATTATTTTATGTTTTGTCTGTTTTTTCTCCCTTTCATTACAGGTTTGTGGGTACAGGTTTTAATGAGATGTTTTAGCTTACTTGGGTAAAAAAGCTGTATTTGAGTTATGTTTTACTGATCATTTGATTTCAGATAATGCTGCGCAACTATGCTTGTGAATGACCAGTATTGACCACTGCCCAGTTTTATAGTTATTGGTTTATGATTTGATTCCAGGTGATGCTTACCACAAGCTCTCTCTGAGTGGACAGACATAAATAACTTATGTCCAACAAGATATTAATTTTACGATAAATTTCTTCCAGGTGATGCTGATCACAAGCCATACGTGAGCGGAGAGCCTGACGTGTCCACCGTCCAGTTGGACGGGACAGAAGATTACATCATCCTGGCCTGCGATGGCATGTGGGACACCATCCCGTACAACGATCTGGTCAACTTAATCTATGAACACTTTGACACCAACAAGGGAACTCGGGACAACATAGCCGAGGCATTAGTGAAGGAGGCCAAGACGCGGGGCTCAAGTGACAATATCTCTGTGATTGTGGTGTTTCTGAGAGACACTGTTGGCACGCCCAAGGTGGAATATGTGGATGATGAAATAGATGAGGAAGAGTCCGGCAACAATGGCAAGAAGAAAAATGACATTAATGATAAGAAGCCGTCAGATGATAGAGGCAAAGATAACAAGAAAGACATCCCATTGCAGGTGAATTTTGGAGGACCTGGCAGTCATAGTTCTGGGGGGACAACAGATTCGAAGGACATGTCCAAGAATGGGAAACAGTCAAATCTACAGCAGAAGAAGGAAATGTTTGGAATCAGTCACTCTAAGTGTTCAGTGTCATCACCAATCTCCTCAACAACATCATCATTATCGTCATCCACAGGTGCTTCTTCAGTTTCTAGAAAGATCAATCCTGGTGACATTAAGCAACCCAGAGGTTCAAAATCTTTGAAATCTCCTCCTGGGCATTTAGCGCCATCTACCACAGGACATAAAGTCAGCTCCTCTTCTTTATCTTCATCTTCCCCACGCGTTTTACACTCTGATCAACAAGCAGTTTCTACTGCTGGGAGGATGGAAAGCAAAAAACTTTCTAAAACAGGGAAAACATCTTCATTATTACCAAATAAAAAGATTGGACTTAATCCAGCTGGGACCCTCCCCCCAAACTGTAGCCCCAGGACTGTGAGTGTGAACCTTCCACCAGGCAAACACCCCTCTATATCTTAAAACAAGGGTGGTATATATAGTGGTGTAAGTTTTCTAATTGGTGGAGTAAAACACTCAATTTAGGTTTTGATTACCGAAAAATATCTGTAAGACTTCAATGAAAGGCCACTCTTTGCGGCATTATGGTATTGCTGGGTTAGCACTGGCAATTTTTTTCTCATAGCCAAATTGCTACTTTTTCAACGCCAATTTTTTTTCCAATGGTTTAAATGGTTTAAACAAGTCAAATCAACCATTTTTTGTTTAGCCAACTTAGTCAGTTTTAGCATTTGGCTAAATTTGTCGAGTGTTAGGGCTGCCCCAGTATTGCATCTGGCACATAAATTCTTTGAATATGTTGCTTTTGTAACAGCCATGGGGTGATAAATAAGATATCATTTTGTAGTATGAAGTGCCATTTTGTTTGATAAGAGTGGAGAATTTTTGGGAAATTAAGATTTAAGGTTGTTTTGTTTGTTATCCACCCAATACATCCCTACTACAAGCTTGAATTGAAGTGTTTGCAGTTGAATTAAACAGGCATGACTGTGTGTTTTTTCTCTTATTGATTTATGGTGTTCTTTTCCAGATAGTACTGATCACTATCATCATTTTTATATATGGTGTTCCCAGATTTTCCTCACGAAGATAAGTTTATTATTGTCTAATTGGTTTGATATTTTGTCAGATCCACCCTTTACAGTTCTGAATACATATCCGACTGGTTCCACTTTTAGAGTTATAATATCCCCAGTTACTTTTGGGCTTTTTAACCCAAAATGTGGACCCTATGTGGGCATTAGTACTGCAGTAGTACATCTGTGAACAGTAGAAATATTTACAAAGTAAAATTAAGTTGAACTGAAATGGGATCCTCTTTATATGATCAACATACCCGAGTCTGTCCATTGTGTTCTAGGTATGTAGAGCTTTAATTGTTACATTATCTTAAGTTTGGGGTAATTGAAGATCCTAGGCACATTTGGCCCTGACTTGCCATGTAGGTAGAGGTTTGTTTTACACATGGACACTTACTGACAGATTAAATTTAAAGCACAAATTTATGTTTTACTTTTATCGGTCACTTTTCTCTCTCAGGAAAAAAAACAAGAAACTGACTGACCCAAGAACTAGTCACTTTAATTGGACTTCCAACCACCTGTCTCATAAATAATACTAAGCTTTGATACTTTAACTAAGGTTAGGGCTCAAACAGAGAGGCTACCTCTTTACCCGTGAGATTCTTCCTTGTGAATTATTTCAGGTAAAAAAACGGTCCTTTTTCTATGTCTAATACTTAGGCTAAAACTTTTTGTCTAGGCAGCTGTTGAATCATCTGTGAAGTTATTTTCTAGATTAGAATGATTTCTGTATTTTTATATGTATAATTCTTTAATGATAAACTTGTAGCTTATGGTTTTCATCATAAATAAAGAAGTAGGTATTTTAATAAGATATTATATTTCCTCTAATAGGCAGTGTTGGCCCTTTTACTTGGAAAGATTTTATTAATGGGAGAGTGAGATATAGGTTGTTGCCTTTGTTGGTATAGAATCCACACAGCCCTTTGCCAAAGTACAGATGACCCGGATGTTTTCATAAGTTTTTTTGTCCTCAGCCTATGTTGTTGAACTAAGGCGTAGTTACGATAGCGGGTATAGGGGAACTTAAGTTTTGGTGCAGTCTTGAAAGTGGGTAGTTGAGTCTGCCTTCATTACCCCCTCCCTCTAGTTTTGGTCAAGGTTCTGACCCAGCTCTCCGCCCCCTTTCTGTTCTTGAAAAATAATCAAAAACTGGTGTCAGTACGAGCACACCCGTTAATACTGACCATCTGAACATACCCAGTTCTGAGGACAGTTAGGACAGAATTGGTACCTACCCAGGGAAAAAGACAGATATATTTATGTTTGAAATAATTCTTGAAGACTTTTTATTTGATCTGCTGTGAATGGGATTGTTATAATGATAAATTATTGACACAGATGATGTCAGGTAGATCTGAGAAAAGTTGGGGATGTTTTATGTTGTATATGTTGTTGTGATACAGAAATTCAAGGTAAAGTAATTTATAAGTGAAATGCATGTAACCAGCTGAAGGTACAGCTCTATAACTATTCTAATCACAGATTAATATATATGATATTTTTGCAAAATCATTTTAGATAGCTGCATAATAGGTTCAGTGCAGTCCCTTTAGTTTGCAGTGTGTACAAAGAGGACAGTCTGCACAAAATTGTCTCATAAAGAGTAGAAATAATTTGTTTACTGATGTGCATCTCCCAGAAGTTGATTAAGAATTGTTGTGCCTACTTTGGTGCTGTTATTGTTGTTGATATTATTTAATTATAATACCCAAAAGATGAAGCCTTAGAATGTTAATATATTGTTATGCTCACAGATTTAAATATTTTAATTGTAATTTGGAATGGATTTTTCCTCCATCTTTAAGACCCATCAAGGCAGCTGAGAGTGATGCATTATGGGTTGCACCCTGCGTGTCAGAGTCCCATATCAGTACATGTTGGCCTTCTATATTAAGAAAGCCTCCTGTTGTTACCCTGCAACTCAGTACGTCCATAGTGATACTAATAAATAGGTCCTGAAAATACTAATATGGATTAAAAAATGATAATTACGGATTGAAGGTTGATGCCTTAGTTGGGTCCATCGTTTCTTGATAACTTTTGTTGGCTAATGGTATATTTTTGCCCGTTTTGTTTGTTTTTACACTAGTAGTTAGATAAATTGTTCATATTTAAGAAAGAAACACATCTTAGTGTTAAAATATAAACTGTAATATATTGTACCTTAAAGATAATTTAACTTTGTTCATTATTTTTACTTGTCTTGCTGTTCAATGTCATTTGGGCATCAACGTTTTAAACAGTAAAGTAAACATTAAGGGTTCAATATTATAAGCCCAAGTTTATAAGTTGTAGATTGAGCCATACTTACTGTATAAAGATGTAACTCTACACAAGTCTTATTATTGTGCTTGGGTTTTTAAATAATTTTATGTGCACATTGAACTGGGATTGTGATGCTAGTTGGAGAGCTGGGAAGTGCTCTCTTTTTACAGATCCCTAGTGTCTGAAGTTGTAAGAGCCAGATATCAGTCTATGTGCCATATTATGACAAGTTGTACGGTTCAAATTTGAAGATGTTCTTGCATGTTTAACCTATCGGATAAGATATGTAATTGTTATACAAGTGTTAATAACATAGTTCTTTAAAAACAGTCTTGATATTTTCATATTTCTGACTAGTTCAACTTGCATATTCATACACACAGTGTCAAACAGATAAAGCAATTACATACAGTAATAAACATTTTATTTCATATTGCACAAAAACAGTAAGTAAAGAAAAAGAAAAAAAACCCACTCAATCCTCAGCACCACTTGTAGCATTTGACAATCCGTTTCGATAATCTTAAAGACTCCTCTCTAATGCTGATCAACAGAAACCTCAGTTACATTTCAGGGAATGTGTGTACCTGGTCCCAAAGACAACCAATTCCCATGTAGCATACAAAATCTCTACTCTAACCCTGACCTTTCACAATAAGAATTACACATATTCCTCCATCACTTTTTACTGTTAAACTAAAGTGTGAGCACAGATGAACTTGGTCCACAGATTGAAAAAAAGTTGAATATGTATTTTTTTGGGGAAAAAAGGAAACAAATAGCATCATTGTACAGAATCCTCGTCCACAGTTGTAAGTATCTAGAAAATTGGTATATATATAGGTGGAAAAATTTCCATAGCTTTATTGTGGACACTGGAATTCTTTGTCATATTGAACAGTTCTCTGCATATTATAAATTAGCTCTGACACCCAACATTCATCTCCCAACCAAATTCCAGCCTGGTTACTGCTAGTCTATCTGCACTTTTCCATATATTTTCAGTGCAGCATGTCAATTCAACTTCATATCTCTCTAGGAACAAAATTGGTTGAAAACTGATCTTAAAAACTTCAAGCAATGTTAACTAAATGCTGACCTCATTAATCCAGTGTTCTACATGGTCTGCAGTTTTCAGCATGTTATAGGGAAAATAGCAAGTGCTCTTGGCTGTAAGCTGGAGCCAAAGCTCAAAAATGAGAGCCTTCCCCCCCCCCCCCATCTCCTCCTGTAGTGTTATTTTATTACTAGTGCTCCACAAACTTAGTTCAAAAGAGTTAAACAAGGTATAATTGCTTTTTTTTTTTTTTTCTTTTTGCTTATAAAGAATTATGTGAGGAAATGTGCATTACAAAGAAAAAATACTGTAATGGTCTTTTAGCAAGGTAATACTGGGCTATATAACAGTGCTAGAGGTGCAAGTAGGCTTTGTTTAAGAAATTTGAAACAGCATACATAAATATTGTGTTGATAACCGGATCTAATCTACTTAGTTGAATGTGAAATATTTGCATATTTGGCAATTCATGTGTATTGTAACAAAGCAGTGCCCTTCTCTCTTTGTTATATGTAACATTTGGCGTCTGGGAGCACATTTGTCTTGAAACATTCTACATCCTGCTCTTGTGCCTCCCTCTATTCACATGTAGGATATAAACAGCAGGTCGTTGTTACTGAGAATCCAAGAGAGGGTGAACTTGTTCATTATGCAGTTGTTCGGTATATCTTCAACTCTGTTTCCATAAATATCAGGATTCATATGACAGAACTTCTTGGGCTTTTCCTGGAGAAAAAGATTTCTATGTTAGATCATGGTTAATATGATCAATTAAGAAACATACGAATTCTACTTTAAACATAATATTTTTCTTCAAAATTCAACACTGGACTTCAATATGGGCCCAAATACTATCTCTTCAGAAAATTAAATCTTGTAAATCTTACTCAAAGCAATATTATCTTACCGACAACCATTAAAATTTGTAAACTTCACTTCTGTTTTCTGTTTATTCTGTTTTTCACCCAAAGCATTCACCTACTTGTCATTGGTGCTAAACTCCACAGTAGGGGTGGTCCTGCTGGAGGACCTGCCACCTGAGGCCAGGCTGTCTCCCTGTGAGCTGGGACCTCTGTCAGCACTGGGGTCTTCACTGGCATCTTCTCCTCCTGGAGTTACGCTGTCTCTGGATGCATCTGGAGGAAAATAGAGAGGAAAGGTGCAAATATTTTGATGGATAGAGAGAGAGGGAGAGAGAAAGTACCAGAAAAATTGTTGAAGACCCCAAACAACTCATTAATATGAAGGGTTTTTTGCACCAAATCCAGTCCATTCATTATTTGATTTCTCTAAACAATGTGACATCTGTGACCCCCATGTTACCTCCTCCTCCTGGCCCACTGGGAGCCCCATTGGCTGCCGCAGCAGCTGCCTCGGCTTTGGTGGCTTCTTCTACCAGTTGACTGGAAAGAAATATTAGAAATTATTTAAAATTTGTTTTCTTTTATTGAACAATTTAATAAATATTATCAGATATCATTTCATCCAAAAACTGAAATCAATCTTAGAGTGCATTCCCACAGATTTTAGAACGATCTATTCCCATAGGGAGTCTCACTAGATTACTGTCAGTTTAGCTGGCTTAAATGTCTGTCCCGCCTACTAAAAGATGTTAATGGGTAATTAACTTCTGTGCGCGCTCGGCTGACAGCAATTTAGCATGAACCCCCAGGGAGTTAGGTCAATCCAGATGGATCGATCTAAATCTGTGGGAATGCAGTCTCAGTTTTATTGGTTAATAATTATCTGTAACTTATATGAAGACATCCTGCAGATGAAAAACAACTGAATTCTCATTGGTGGATAATGGTGGTGTGACCTCACCTCATCCTGGCCACCAGTCTGGCAGTGTTCAGGGCAGGGATACAGGCCACCTCTGATGTGGAGATGTCTGAGATGGGGTACTGCTCTAGGGAACTGTCCAGAGGACTCCCCGGGAGACTCGGGGTGCTATGCTCGCCATCTAGGTCACCTGTGGACAACAAATATTGTTAATTACTCGAGTTTACTTCTTGGGGCTTAACTTGCAATGATGAGAAACATCTACCCGACTACATGAAGTCAACTTTACAATATTGCTCCAAAAGTGATTCAGATGTTGCAGGCATACTGATATAGCCTGGAATTTTGAGAATTCAGCAAAAAAAAAGTTCAAGAGTATTGCAAGCTTTCTACGCCAATGGCAGTCTTTTTTTACAGTGATTACTTGGTTAAAAGTAGTTGCAAATTTAACTTACATTATTTATCTGATTCATTTTATTTCTTTTGGGTTCCAAATATTTTTCATAACAATTATATGAATCCTAACAGCATTAATCTCTTTAACAATCAACAATCTGTAGTCTGACATTATATATACCTAACACTGAATTTCAGTCAATTTTGTGCCTTCCTATCAACCCCCTGTGTCCAGCCGCTTATATTTCCTGTATCTACCAAGACCAAGTCTAATCCAGATAGAGGACATCATTGTCCTGTATTGAGGGGAAAGAGAGACTGACCACCAAAAGAGAAACTGACCACCAATCAAAGACCCAATCACCCCTAGGGTCACAATGATGCAGAGTTCACACCTCCTTAAGCTCACCTTCAGTGTTTACCTGCCATCCTCCTCCCACTCCTAACTGACACCACCACCAAGGTGTGTACTGCCCAGCAGGTGCCCCCAGGGAACAGCATAAAGACCACATCCTCAGCTGACTTTAAACAATTGATACCCGATTGATGTGGAGGCATGTTACACTGTGGGAGGAGAACAAAGAGGACTGGCAAGGAACTGGGGACTTGAGGGAGCAGGATAAGTGGTTGTTTGTCCATCTGTTCTACAATGGTGTTTGATATCTGGAGGGCATGCCAAGACAAGGTAGGCTAATTGTCATGGGAACAATAACTTACAGTCATTGTGGACAGAATGGGGAAATACAACTTGGAAGTAATTGAGGAATTTCAAAGGCACAGAAATCAAGTGATGTTCTCATCTACATGTTGATTTCTCTTGTATTGCTTGTCTACCTAATTATGATTCCCAGACCATTTCTTTCTAAACAAGTACAATGAACACATTTGTCAGGAATGCTGCTTGTATAACTTCAATTATAATTAACAAATCAATATAAATTCAGAGAGTTACAATTCTTCCACTCATTTAGTGTTATACACCTCAAGGAAGGGGAGCAAAAAATAAGTAAATTATTTAACTAATATAATGTACATATAATTTCAAAATTGCAAAGTACTTTATAAGAAAATGCTTGGGCATTGGGCATGGCAGTACTTATAAATAAATAAATAAATAAATAAATAAATAAATAAATAAATAAATAAATAAATAAATAGGGTAGGGTACAACTAGGTTGTTAGAGGCACTCATTTGTTTCCTATTGAATGAACCTAATCCAAACTGGGATTATTTCTTATTGGACTTAGAATGTCTGTCAGTTTAGAAGACTGCATGACTCAACTGTCCTTACCACCAATCAAGCAGGTAAGATTAATTTGCCCCTTCATTACCCCACCCTGACAGTCTGACCTCTTCCACCCCCCTTGTCAGTCCTCCATGCCCTCTCTACCTGTAATAATTATCATACCGCACAGTACACTATGTTAACAGTGCTTGGTCACAGAGAGACTGGGGACCCCCCCCTCCCCTCACTGCCCACCTTTACCTGTAATAATTATCACACAGTCTAGTGCACTGATGTTAACACTACCTGGCCACAGAGACTGGGGACCTCCTGTAGTGCAGCAGTAAGGTGATAATAATGGAGTCAATGGTCTTATGGAAGAGGAAGTTTTCCCCCATTCACCCAGCCTTAAATTAGCTGTCCCTATTGGTCTTGGTGACATATAAGATACAAGGCACTTATACCACACAGCCAGTTAATGAGAGTAACACAACCAGTTCATGAGAGTACTGTTGGAGCTACAGGAGAGCCACTGGCAGAGAACAGACATCAGTGTGAGAATGGAGGACTAAAGTGTATCTTTTGAAACTGTATCTTCCTCAAATTGGTGAATATATCTAGTTCAAGGAACTGTAAATATCACCTCACAAGAATAGGATTAAGTAATTAATTTAATTTAACAAGAAACTACTGCTGAGGTCAGTGGCACATTACAACAAGAGAGCAAATCAAGGGGGAAGTAAACAAGGAGCAAGGCAGTCCACATCCCCATGGCATCTCTAGTGGACCAGGCCACCCGTCACCAGTCTACAGGACTCCAGGTCAGAGATGGGAAACTCCTCCAGCTGAGTGCTCACCCCATGTTTTCAGAACTCCAGGCCACCCTGGCCACCCAGTGTCAGCAGGCAGCCGTCCCTTACTCCTTGGTCAGTCCAGAGAAAATGAGCAGTGGTCAACAGGAGGGTCAGGCCACGCCAGTCCTGGAGGCCGTCTTGCACTCCGAGTTCCGTAAACTGTCTAGTTTACAGAACGAGAAAGTCGCGCAGCTGGAGTCATTCTTCAACACGCAGTGTGCTGTGATCGAGACCCAGCGCAGCGACGCCATTGCCGACCTGGCTGGTACCATGGACAGGAGCAGCTTTGAGCACCAGCTGAAACTGATCCATAAATTCCACGACCAGCAGAGAGTCCATCTCACTCTCAGAGTCAGTGCCAGTTTAAACCTGCTCAAAGACTCTCTCCCTGAGGACCCAGAGCTCTGCACAACCAAAAAAACCAAGAACAGACTTTTAAATCCTAAGGCTGTAGAAATCATGCAAAACTGGTATGACATGCACTGTGAGAATCCTTACCCCACAGAGGAGGAGAAGAGAGACCTGGCTGAGCAGGGAGGGATATCTCTAGGGCAAGTTAAAGCTTGGTTTGCCAACAAACGGAACAGAAACTGTAACACAAAGCCCAAACACCATCGCAGAAAGGCTGCAGAGGATTTTCCAAAAATCTATTCCAGACAAAACTCCACAGAGGTAAATACCTCCAGTAAACCTTGTGACAGGAAAGTACTGAATGCTTGGGAGAATAATATTTCTGATCATAAAAACTTTGATAATAACAGATCTCATAAAATCCACTCAGATTTTAGTCAACAGGAATATAACGACATGATTAAAGAACTCGGTGAACTGGTACAAACTACTACAACAATATCACAGAAAGATCTGATATTGACTTCTGATTTTGACTTCTAAAAATTGACTGTGAATGTGCTCAAAGCTGTAAGTTACATGTCATAGAAAAGATGTAATCATAATATACAGGGAGTTATTACTTTCAAATTCCTGACAGCACTGTTACTGCAATATATTGTTAAGTTATGTTTTGATAAAATAATATTTGACAAATAACAGTGTGACAAATATTGTAACATCACTTAGACAAACTAAACCCATGTTAGACATTCAGCTTAAATGACCACAAAATATATTAAACTCAAAGTTTATTTATTAGTTGAGCTAACAGACTAGAACAATGCTTTCCCTTCTGTCAAATAATAAAAAATATTTAAAAGATATTTTTAAAAATCTTGTTTCTTTTTAGGGCTATCTTGTATTATAAATTTTTATTTTAGATTTCTACTCATGTCGAATCAATGGTTTATAAATTCTTAATTCTTGTAAATAGTATAGACCCTAGTTTAAGATACAAAATTTAAATTGAATATCTGGAAATGCCAAAAAAATCTTTTAAAGATAGTACTGACCAAAGGCAAGTTTATCTGTGGTAGAATAGCTTTCATTGGCTGATAAAGGGTACTAAGTTTACCTGTGGTAGAATGGCTTTCATTGGCTGCACCATCTTCCTGTAGTTTGGGAGATTGCTGTAGGTCTGGACTAGACAGTCTGGCAGTGGGACGAGATGTTGACAGTCTCTCTACAGCAGTAATAAACATTAGCAATTATATAAGATAAATTAAGAAAGTGTGAAGTTTAAGCAGGAAAATTTTGAACAGGTACCTTAATGTGTAGAATAACAAAAAGATCATGTGTGACTGTATTTTCTTTGGGAAAATCAATTCCACCTCATTACAAATTAAGATACAAGATGAACTTTAAGACAAATTGTCTAATCAATTTTAAAAGGTAGGCTTAAATACAATGATCTCAAAAATTGCTGCTTGAAATAAAAATTAATAGGAATGTGGCAAAAGTAAAAAAAAATCTCACCAACTTCCTCAAAAAATTAACAATGAGTTAAAAGTAAGAGCATCGTCCCACCTTGAGCAGAGAACCCTGTTGCACTGCCACTACTGCTGCCCCCAGGTGGCAAGGACACTCCCAACTCAGCCAGCTCAGAGTGGAAGCGATCTTTGGCACTGCTGACCCGACTAGAATGAGCTGGTCTTCTCTGACCGCTGTCTTTAGACTTGTGCTTCCTGCTACTGGACACCCGCTCCAAGTAAGACTTGACCCTCTCTATCCACTGCTCAGTTTGCTGGTGAAGGTCTGGAAGACAACATAGGGCTTGATGATAATGATGATGATGATGATTATTATTATTATAATTATCATCATCATCATCATAAGGTGAAGATGTGTGATCCAGTATTCTTTTATCTTTTATTCATTAACAATATTTTATTCACAATATTTCATTCTAACCCCTCAGAGGGCCATGTGTAAGATAAGATTATACACTTAACATGTTTTACCCTTGTTAAATTAAGTTTATTATTATTGTTATTACTGTAGTGTACATGCTGAAGTCGCTGATCACTATGGTAATGAGTCAATCTTTTCAATGGGAAAATTGTGACTTTCACAGGTACTGTATCTTTTAAAGTCAATTTTCTTAAAATGAGAATAATTCTATTGATTGGTAGCAAGAAAACTGAAAAGTAGGCTACCTTATAATTCTACTTTTATTACAGAGAAAAAGCACTACAAATGCAACCAAGAATTATATTTTTAATGATTCTAAAATCACTCCTATGAAAAGTTAATAATTCTCCCCCATTGAAAAGATTGAATGATTCATTCCTGTAGGCCAATACTTATACCACAGAAAAATAAAATAAATTTTCAAATAAATGCTGAAACATACAGGTTATATATGGTGACAGATAGGCATTTACATCCACAAATTCCAAAACAAATCTATTTCCTTAAACAACATTGATTGAAATGGCAGCAAATCGTTTTATAAAGAACAATCGACCCCATGAAACAAAAAGACAAAAACACACCCACATTCAGGCACTCAAACACTATGCTATTCAATTGCTATGGACTGTCTTACCAGATGCAGGAAACTGTCTGTCTCCCGTCGGCACAGCAGGTTCAGCAGCAGCAGTAGCAGTAGCAGTAGCAGTAGTGACAGTAGCAGTAGTTGCAGCACTGGTAGGAACAGCAGCAGTAGCATTCAGGGTGGTGGCGGAGGTGTATCTCTTGGGTTTTGGGAAGGTGACCCTCCTCTCCTCAGACCCCCTGTCCTGCAGGTCTAACAGCTGTAACAACACCAGCTCATCATCATCTCCTTCTCTGGAAGTGACAACATGAACAGTTATACCAAATATAGCATTCTCTTCCACACTTATATCAAATACACCTCTCTTTTTTAAATACACTTCCCTCCTCCTTTGGCGCCACATCCTACAGGCATGAATGCCCTCTATCCTCTGGCATTTTGATGTCAGTCGGTGGACTCCTAGCCCCCCCCCTTTCTTTCTAGGTCTCCCACTGCGGTGATGTACTAATAAAGATGGTATTATTTACCTATTCCTGGCAGAGTCTCCCCCACTCAAAGCAGCTGTCTCCTGGCTCTCCCACTGCCGGCTGTTCTCAACATCATTGTCAAGAGACCTGGAAATATAGCATAGTTACAAAGATATACACAATATTTCTAAACCTCAAATTGTCCTAGTGCTTATATGTTTAATTTTGTCTTGAGAAATATATAAGAGGTAATTAATCAATTTATTCTGATATCATTTTTCACACAATTGCTTTTCATTTTTCATTTGGGGAAATGAATTCTTTCCTATGTTTAAGAAGGATTGTATAACAAGGATTGTGTTAATCTTACATGGTTTCTTCATCAATGTCGTTTTCATCATTGCTGATTTCTGCGCTCTCTTCAAGAATTTGTTCTTCAAGCTCTTCATTGGTCTCATCATGGTCATGGAGAACTTCACTCAAATTCTGAAAATATACAACCACCTCTAACCCTGTACTGATTTTACATAGTGATAAGAAATGAACTTAAATTATCTCCATGTACAGTGCAACTAAATAAAAGAAAACATTATTTCATAAAGCAGTTATGCAAAATCTTAATGTACTGCAGTATGCAATGATTTGTTTGAAGTCTGAATATAATCCAAAAAGAGTGCAAAAACAACTCGTATGTTTGCATAGCCCTACCCACTTTTTAACAATTTGTCAACCTGACAAACAAAAAGAACAAGAAAGCTCCTAGTTTGTATCACTGAATTACTCTTGTTATATTCTACATACTTACTGCAACAGTCATTGTAAAATTTACTTGTAACTAAATGAATTAAAAAACAATACTAATAAAATTACAAAAGTACTACAGCCTTTACCTCAGTAGAAGCAGAACTACTGCTGCTGTCATCGTCATGGTTCTCCTCCTCCATCTGCATGTCCAGCTCCATACTGACCGCTGCCCTCACTGGCTTGGGGTACAATATGGGGGGCTTGCCGCCGCCACCGCCACCACTGGTGTTACTGGCCACACCACTAGGGGGAGCCTCAGGGCGGGCTGCAGTCTGATTGTCTGGAGAACGGAACATAATCTGATACAGAACAGATACTGGTTTAGAATCTATGTGGATTCACTGAATGGGAATTAAGCACCACAATGAAGGAGGACTAATGCCTTTCTTAAAACATCTGCTGATACTCACCAGTATGTGAAAATTTCCCCCCACTGCATCCTCCACAAAAATAAGAAACATTTCAAACTAAATATAAAAATCTAACCTACCTGGTGATGGACATTTCTGGTGGGAAGTCTGGTGGCGAGACAGTTCAATAGCCAGGCGCTGAAATAATAAATAAACAAACAAATAAATAAATAAATAAATAAATAAATAAATAAATAAATATAAATATATATAAATGTGGTGATGAGACAATTCAATAGCGAGGTGCTGACACAATAAATAAATAAACAAATATATAAATGTGGTAATTTAAAGAGACAGTTCATTAGCAAAGGGCTAAAAATTCTTAAGTCTAAAGCTGTTGCCACCAACCATGATAACCGAATTTTCTGCAGTTACTTTACAGAATGTAAGTTCTGAATCAATATCGAAGACATTAAGACAACTCTATCTAGGATCACTAGCAAATTAATGACTTGCACAAACTGTGTTTGGGTATCTGGGATAGTTAACAGGTTACCTACCTCTTTCAGGTCATTGACCTGCCCTATAAACTGTGTTTGGGCTGACTCTAGCTGGTTGATGTACCTGGAAAGTAGAAATAATGAAGATTATAAAACATTCAATTGTTACTATATAAAATCAATATGTGTCCCCTGTTTCACAAAGAATCTTAAATCCCTAGTTGACAAGGCTGAGCTAAGTGAAGTTTTTGTCGAATGATTGTAAAGCACCAGTCTATTATATTGAATAAATAAAAGAAAAATTTATCCAGCAAAAGTTTACCCCCCTCCCCTTCCCTGTCTTCAATCCCAGTCATACTTCACCCCTTCTCATTCCCCCTCTAAGTCTCTCCTCACCACTGCTGATCCCTGCACTTCTGGTAGTAGGTGGGTGGGCGGACCTGAAACCTCAAGATAAGGGTGTCCGTCTCTGTGTTCAGGTAGCCCTCACTGGCCAGGAGGTCCAGGCGGAAGAACCGGTTATATCCCCAGCACTCGCCCACCTCAAAGTCCGAGGCAAACTCGCGGACGATGTTTTTGGTGAGATCTCGGGAGGCCTGGTGGACCATCTCCACCCTGTACTCATATCTGCAGGCAGAAACCAATGTGTTTCTTAGATACAACATTATCTTACAATACCAGAGATAAAACCAGAGACAATTACCTACAGATTTCAAAATGCATCTATGAAAATAAGCAAAGAGATGCATTTTCAATGTCATATTACAATCTTATTCTAAATGTGTGAATGCTCGATGTCCTATTACAGTGTAATTCTATATTTATGGATGTTGGATGTCCTATTACAATCTAAAATCAATCAAAGAAGGAAGAATCCTGCCACAATCTAATTCATATTTATTATTTATTATGGCGTACTTTGAAGTCTCAGGTAGTCCAGCAGACAGTTCCAGGAATACAGACAGGTAGTTTCCTCTCACAACACCATTGCCATCCTAAGCAAATATAATATTTAATAAAAACAACATGAATGCCAGGCAATGATATTATATAGCAGCTTATTTGATAAGAAATAACACATTTTTATTTAGACCTGTTAGGGCCCACCACAATAAGTAACCATAAGTAGGTTAGAAAGTAATACTATTTAATAAATAAACTGATATCATGTATGACATACAGGGTAAACTATGACACTCCAGCTAATTTGACAGGAACTAACAGATTTATTATATTTAATAAAAACAACATGGAGGCAAAACAATTATTTCATATTTAATATATAACCTACAGGGTAGACTTTGACTATCCAGTTTATTTGATATACACAAGCATACATATATTTGATAAATAAACTGATATAATATATAACCTACAGGGTACACTTTGAGTCTCCAGCTGAGTCCAGAGACATGGAGTGGCTGGCTGTAGACTGGGTCTGCCCTCTGCTGGAGACCAGTGAAGTTAGTCATTACAAAGGTACTGCTGTCATATGCTGGCACTATCTCACTGGAAATAGTACAGAGGCAACGTGTTCAGGAATTGCTTTAACTCAGGACATTTTGTTCTTTTATGAGCCCTTTCAGTTTAACTTTTAATTCAAAAACATTTGTATTGATTCTGCGCTTCCTAATCTAAATACATTAAAAAATTAAAATTTTCAGTTCTCAATAAAAAAGATATACGAGAGATAAGATCAAAATGCAATTATAAAGTATTTCTCTTGGAAAATACTATGTAAAATATCAAACAGAAAAATTATTTTTAAAAATTTACCTGTTAAAGTCAGCGGGTACAGGGGCAGTGACAAAGGAAGCCATGGGTCTCCTGTGGACCTGCTGGAACATCTGTAACACATTGGAACTCTCCACGATCAACTCACTCTTACAACACAGGTGGAGCTGGTGTTCAATCTCCTGGATCACTGACTCCATCATCTCCGTCTCCTGGGTCAACTGGTTCCTCTGACCTGAAGATAACAACAGATTACATAGCAACAGTGTAACATAAATTTTATACATTAACTGAGTGATTGTAATAATCATGTTCAGCAAATACAAAATATATAACAGTTTGGTGAATCGGTAAATAATGATCTATTTGCTTTTTTGTTAAATTGCTTCAAATATTAACTGCAGCATGAAAATGAATCAGATAAACATATTTTTCTTATGGAGATGTCTATCAAATTTTTACAATAATAAATCATTATCTTTTCCTATGCATGTAACTTTGTCTTACCCATCAGAGTCAATAGTTTGCTCTTCAGCTGGGACTCCAGTCTGGCTATCATCAGCTCCACTGCATTGCGGATCTCACGCACTCTCTCATCTTTGGCATTTTTTACACTCTCAACATTTCTCTCCTGTAAATAAAAAGTATGATTAGAAAATTAATATCTTTTAATTTCTTTTCAATCATCAGTTATTGTTAACCATACCTATGGGCTATCCAATTTTTATCATGATTTTCACTATCCCACAACCATACACTAAGGGCATGGGGGATGTTAATGCTCTCTGTGCATTTTTGAAACAATAAAAAAGATTACCCAAATACTGTAACTTTCAAAGGTCATCATTTTAGCTTTTCACCTTTTACTTTCAAGGGGGGGTGGGGTGGGGTGGGGTGGGGGAGGGGGTGGAAAAATACTTTTCTTTGAAAATGATGATAAAAAAGGATTAACCCCATTATCAGTAATCTATTATAACAGATATCTCCCATTCAACTCTCACTTATTGCCGTCACCACATGTTATCAGAATGACACCAGTGTGAGCAAAGTTCTTACCACATCCTGCACCAGACTGATCAGTTCAATATGGCGTCTCTTCAGCTGGTTCATCTCCTCGCGGATCCTAGACACGTGTTCATCATAGATCTCATCCAGTGGCATGAAAGTGTGACCAGAATGCTGAAAATATACAATACAATACAGTGCAATATAAAGCAATGCAATACAACAGAATACAGTACAGTAACAATGCAATAACAGTACAATACTATAGGCAATTGTCAGTGGGATTTCTGGAGGTTCAAAAGAACTGCCCTTTGGTGGAAAAAGGTCTAAGTACCCAGAATTAAAATATAATCTAGGTTTCATGCCATTTCTGAAGTTGTATAAACTAAGGGGGTAACAAGGTGTACTTTTTCAGAAAAAGACCAGCGCCCCCTATTTGAGATTGTGAGCTACAGGCCCGAGTTTGATATGTCTAAGGGTACGTACCGTACCGCCCCAGAGTGCGCACTGATGACAGATACATTTTGAGCAGGAACGGCAGAACACACTCAACTTCTCATGGTGCAGCTCGCATCTGGAATGGGAAGAGTTCACATTAGACTATTCTTACTGAGGTTCTTTCTGCTTTTAACTTCATGTGATATGTAAAAGTTGCTCAATTTTCTTATTACCTCAACTACAAAATAATGTGTTGGAGACTATTCCTAGATGTATAACAATAGATCAAGTGACCAACCCATCCACGTCATTACCCAGCAAAATGTCTCAAGTTGGGGATGCAATCTCCTCAAGTTGCTTTAGAAAATTCCAGTATCAGAGTTCTACATATTTCTCATAAAGTGACAAGCTTGATAAATTTGGCGGTAGGCTGTCTAAAGACATACTTGTCCTTGTCACTGTCCTCTGTCCTGCTGGGCAGTGTACACAGCTGGAGTGTGTCAAGTTGGTTGGTCACTTCCTCTGCCCACCGACAGTTGACCAACTCATGGAGGTGGAGGGACGCTCTGAGACAATAATAAATGTGCTGGTTATTATATAAAATGTCATTCAACAGAAACCTACATACTACACCTGTGATGCATATAAATGTGTACAATTATAGACTTCAGGTGAGGTCATCGTGGGGATATGTTCAATCTGGGATAATTGATCTACGCTAATAATCGTTAAAATAATTGGTGGATATGCAACAATAAATGACAAGTTATATAAGATTACAGTATTGTGTAATCATAAATGATAGGGGTCCCTACTTTATCATTCTTCTAGTATTTGTAGATACATAACTAGTAAAGAACTAGTAACTAATAGTATATCTAACATAGTGCACACATAAAGGCCATAACACACAGATCCTGCTCTAGCCTACCTGCAGTGAGGACACTGTGATCTCTGTTCTGTCAGCCATCTCTGGAAAAAACAAATCACAAAATGGTTCAAATCATCAAATACCCACATGATTTTCTGTTATTTTACAATTGCAAATTTTAGAAATTTTATTAGATAATTAATCAAATATGGTATCTATGCTTGATCAATGCTCTTTTAACTTGGAGATAACCATCTGTCAGTAAGCAATTTTTACAGAAAAAACTGATACTTCTTTAAAATTGAAGCCACAAAACTCAAGTAAATAAAACCAGAAGAAATATCATATCATATCATATTTATTTAAAAGTTACAAAGAAAGAAAGAAAGAAAGAAAGAAAGCAATGGAGATGCTTGACTGGATAGGAAATTCTTTATCAATTAGTTATAAGATATAACCACACTGTGTTCTTACTGTGTTCAGAATTAAGTTACAAGATATAATCACACTGTGTTCTTACCCTGATGCACATAAAGCAGCACAGCTTGGAGCAGTGAGGGCAGAGACGGGCGTCCCGCAACTTCTCCATACAGATGAAACATCGGAACACCTCTGCCAGGCTCTAGAATCATGATATAAGATACTTGTATGTATTTCTCATGAGAACTACAACACGGATAATACCACAACAGGAATCTAGTTCATTTTTTAATCAATACACAGAAGATAAAAGAACAGCTCAGTCAGCTTTTGGAATGACTGTACAATGAAATGTCCATTCCCAGACATGCTGAAAGTGAAATGCTGAACTTCAAAATAAAACAATCATAGACCCCCTCCCCATACCTAGAGGGATCTAACAGGATCAACCCATCTCCAAGGGATTTCTTGCTTAATCAGATGTCTAGCACATCAGATCTAGAGATGGGTCTATCCTGCTAGATCATAGAAAAGATAAAGAATCAGTAACTGAACAGCATAACGAGAATATTTTAATAGCCCATATGTACACTGTTTTTTTTTTAAAGAACCATGATGATGCAGAGGTAATCACAAAAACCAATACTTTGCACTAATACTGAAGGCTATAAATCATTAATAAAATGAAGGTAATTAGCAACATGAAGTCAATTAGTTCAATCCTGAGGGAATGAGAATGATACAACTCTGGCGCATTTTTGGCATAAAGCATTGCTTTGCATTTCACATACTCTCACACGTCATAGATACAACTGTTCATGATAGCTTGGTATGACTGATGTCTTTGTTTATGTATTTTTTCTTATATTTCAATAATATGTTTATTCTGTTCCGCTGATGTAAAAGTTAAAATGTATTACTCGGTATAGTTCTAGTGTAATCAGATTCTAAAATCAAAAGTGATTGTGATAGTGATCAAATTGTGATACTGTATTTCCAGTCCCTGATTGATAAACTCAAACATTGTCGGTGCGTGTGAGTGCCACTGTCAGACTTGCAAAATTGGTCTACCTCAACCGTATTCTCCTCCATTCTTTTCTTTCCACCGCTACCACCACCACCACTGTTTGAACCACTTCCACTAGCAGCAGCCATAAAATATGGTTACTCTAATCGGCCGACTGCATGCCGGTTTTTTCAATATTTTGACAGTTTTTCTTTTTCATTGACTTGTCTTGTCTTCAGAAATTTTGTGCCAAGGCTGTTCATTGGATAGAATGTTTGTGGCAGGAAGTCGATGTTTTCTTCCGTTTAATCGAACGAAAAGCTAAAAATCATTTTGATATAACCCTTGGCGAGTTTTTTAAACATAAATAATATGTTCACTTAATGTAATATATTAAAAGCTATATTTTATGGCTTATATTTATGCGGCATAGTTAGGAGCCTATCACCGGCCATGTTGCAATAAAAATTGATGACGTACGACGCATGCGAAAACTGACGCATGTTGTGATCGGAATATTCGCGCGATATTTATGGCAAGGTTGTGAAATAGTTCAAAAACCGACAGTTTTGTCACCATGTCACATCAACTGGGAGTCAACCAGAACCAAGTCTTTAAGCTGGTTTTGACGGGAGGTGAGTTTCATGTACATTGCTATTTGCAATCAAATATAAACAAGGTCATGTTTCCACGTGGTGATGCAAAGAATCGCCGGCCAGTTGCTGGCAGAGCAAATGATTCTTAATTATAAATGGTGAAAGGGTTTATTTTACTGTTCCGAATAATAAAACAAAAAATGTATCTCCATATGATTGAGACAGTGGGTTAAAATGTGTTTTTCTATAGTTAAATGAAATGACACACTGAATAGCCGTAAAGAGTGATAAATAATGTTGTCTGTGGTGATGTCTAAAATTAGCCATCCATGCCTTGTTGCAGGCTGGTTTATTTATGAATAAATTATGTTGGAATAATATTACATAAATATAGATGTTACAGAAAATAATGTGATTTGCTGACATTTTTTGCTTAAAAGAATGAGAATAGTGATTCTAGCAGGCTAACAAACCCATTTCTTATTTAGTAACAATTTAATAATTATTAATTTGATGTTATAAATGATTGAGAAAATATATTTAAATTACAGGGTTGTTGTGCAAAGTGAATGGGTTTCAAATGACTCCTTCATTAAATCTTTATTATCTACAATGGAATGGAAATTATTTCCCAAGGAATATATTTCATCACCCAGATGATAATACATTGTTATCTATAATGTGGAATGCTGTATGAAAAGTTATTCCTCACATCAGTCTTATGTTATACACAAATTTTATGTATTGTTTGCATAATTCTTACTTGCCCCATCATTTTCTTTGACTAAATGAACAGGTGCTGAGACTATAGATGTTGCCATTTCATAGTACTTTTGCCTCTCTAACTTTCGCTTCATGTAATTTTAAACTGTTATTAAAATTTGAACCTAACAAAAGCCGCATACCACTTTCTGATCTCTCTAAATTAAAATTGCCAACATAAATACTAAAAGTTTAAGGAGAAGAAAATGTTACAAAAGGGAAAATGCAACATAATGATCAGGGTCAGACATTTAATGCTAATCACAAATCCAATAAGGGCATTTTTACAATCCTGGGCTCCTTTTTTTCCCACCAAGGGTCAAAAATAGAAGTCATTATTGTGTTGAAATTTGTACTTTTCTTGAAAGTATAGACCTGAAGGGTATAAGAAATGACAATCCCGAGATAAAACCTTGTGTATGAATAAAGATATGATTATTTGAATTTTGAAAATCATTTTTTTAATTTTCATAAGCTAAACCTTGAAGTGTGTGACTTTTAGGATAATTTAAGGTATTGATCTCCAAAAAAACACTTAGTTTTACTCAGAGAGTATTGCTCTTTTATGTATTGGCAAAAAAAAATGGATGAAAATATCCAAAATTTGACGAATCAATGATATTTTGTAATTTTCCTGTTTCAGTATTAAATGTGACTCCATGAAGTTTTTGATTCTGAGATATTCTGAGGACTTCTGTACTTCACTTTACCTTGCATTAGTTTTTTATGTTATGCTTCATGATTGTGTAAAATATTATTTTGCACAGACATGTGTGCTAATTGCAGTGTCATGTTAAAATAAATGTCCTTTCCGAAACATCCTTGTTTCGGAAAGGACATTTTTTAAACATTTATGATATTGTTTTAATATATTGTAGTATTTGAGTTTATAAGTTTTAGGTAAAGTCTATGAATAACTGGGCAAAATAGGTGGAAGCTAAACTAAAATTGAAGTCTTTTTATTACATTTTGTGCTTGTTTTGTCTATTCTGTACTAGTAATTCATTAGTGGAATTTTATTTTATTAAATATTGATTCGGAGATATATTCCAGGTATTCTTTATGCCATTATACCTTATTCCAGTTTCTTTTGTTACAGTTCATAGCTGCATAAAATATTATTTGACAATGTCAGATTTACTAACAGTAAAGACATGTTTAAAAATATGTCCTTTTAGACATGTCCTTGTTTCGGAATGGACATTTATTTAACATTTATGAAATTGCCTTAAGATCTCATAGTATGTTGGTTTCCAAGGTACAGGTGAAGCAAACATTGGACAAAATATGAGTAAAGTAGATTAAAACTGAACTGTTTTTATTACATTAATTGGTCATTTTGGATAGTTTTTGATTCTTTTTTGAAATGGTACTCCATTAGTATTTGATCATGACATAAAATAGTCTCTTCTACACTCTATTATACCCTATTCTACTGCCTTTTGATACAGCTCATAGCTGTATAAAATATTATTTGACAAGGTCAGGTTTAAATTAATAAATTACATTTTTAAATATGCCCTTTTAGGCATGTCCTGTGTTTCGGAATAGACATTTATTTAACATTTACGGAATTGCTTAAATGATATATATATATATATATATATATATATATATATATAGAGAGAGAGAGAGAGAGAGAGAGAGAGAGAGAGAGAGAGAGAGAGAGA